CGGCGCCGCGTCGACCTGCCTCTCGGGCTTGCTGAGCCTCTCTACCGGAGTCCACAGACTTCTCTCCCCCGGAGCAGCCGCGGGTGGGTTCGAACTGCGGACCCTGCGGTCGGCAGCTCTGCCCTGTGTGCCAGATACTATAGCAAGCGCTGTAGACGGCTTCTTGTCTTGAATTACAATACAAGCCTGTAGCTTGGTTGGTTGGTTGGGTGGGTGGGTGTGTGTGTGTGTGTGTGTGTGTGTGTGTTTTCCCGAGAACATTTCATTGTCGTTCGGGTGACACTTTCCCGGGCACCTTCGTTTTGTAGACAGCTCCTAGTCGGCACTGTGGACACGGCTAGAATCCCCTCCATGTCGCAGCGCTCGCTCCCTTTCCTCCCGGGTTCCCGGGCCCTTCCTGCCTTCTGAACTTAGTTTTCAGGTGAATGCTGCCCATTTGTTCTGGCCTGGTTGGTTGGCGTGAGGAGCACGCCCCTCACGGAGGTATTGTTCACTTTGTGGCCTGCCTGCCCTCGGAAAGGTCAGTGGGTTCCGTCCCACATTTGAAGAGCGTTCCCAGGGTTCCATCCCAGGTTTGAAGAGCATTCCCAGGGTTCCACCACTCTCTATGGGACTGGTCAGTCTGGTCGTTTTTATGATTTTGGATTTGTGCTGCATATTCCTCCCACGCTGGCCAGGACCTACTGTGAACTTGATCCGAGTACCTGCTAGTGGTTGCCGGGCACCGTCTAGTTCTGGTCTCAGGCTATCACGAGCTGTGGTGTGCGTGGTCCTTTGGACTAAATGTTTCCTTGAACACTGGGTTTTCTTTCCTCCACATGAGAAGAGACCAGTGGTCTGGCAGGTGGCAGCTAAGAGACTTGTAAGCCCTCAGTAGAGAGTATTATTGTGCCTGGTTTACTGAAGAAACAGGCCCAGCCAGGTGACATGGCTCGCTCGGCATCACATCAACAGTTAGTAAATGTTTATTCAACAATGACCCTTGGAGGTTGTCATGCTGTCAAGTGGATTCTGACTCAGGGTAACCCTGTAGGACAGAGGAGAACTCCCTTACAGAGTTCCCCAGGCTGTAATCTCTGCAGGCCATCTCTCCCACATCTGGTGGGCTCAAACCACAGATGCAGGTTAGCAGCTGAGCACTTAACCATTGCCCTGCTAAGGCTCCTGGCTCATATGTGGCCCAGCAATTCTACTCCGAGGTGTATACCCAAGAAAACATGTCCGTTTATTAACTTGTATGCAAGTGTTCCTAGCAACATGTCTCATGACAGCAATGATGTACTGATAGGGCTGCAACACGAATGGACACTGAAAACATCATGCTAAGTGAAAGAAGCTCGTCCCCAAAGGCAGGATGCCGTGTGATTGTACTCCTCGGCTCTGCCTCGAAGGTGGTTACCAGGCTGGCAGGAGGAAGGAGTGGGGAGCAGGTGCTGAGGAGTTTCTTGCTGGGTGATGAAAATGCCCTGGCACTACACGGGGGTGTTTGCACAGCCTGTGACAATGCGAAGAGCTTGGACCTCGGCGTTTGATAGTGTGGAATTGGGGTGACGCTCGCTGTCTCCACCCCAAAGGCAGAAATCGGCAAGGGGTGGAGTTGAGCCTTGCTCCTGACTCCAGGAAGGGTTTGTGGTAGCACCTCACTTGGTTTATCCCTCCCCTTTCCCTGGAAGGGACCTAGGGAGGGTTCCTGTCACACCGAGGTGTCTGAGCGCTCCACTGAACCTGGCCGTCTACTCCCATGAGGATCACAGCCCCCGAAACCCGGTGGGAGTTCTACTCCGGCATTTAGGGTCATTATGAATGAGAAGCAGCTCCGTGGCACCCACAAGTCTGTTGGACTAGACCTGGCTGGCCAGAGGCCCAGATGGAGTGCATCTGGGCCATGCCCTGTTTCTCTGTGTTCCCATAAAGCAAGGCCTTAGACCACATTAGCACACTGGATTGAATGCCACCTTCTGTCCCCCCTCTCTCTCCCTGGCTCTTTTTACCTTTCAGGTAATTAACTTGATCGCACATACTGATGGCGCTAAAGGAAGCGTCGCGCTTGCTGGATTCCAGCGAGAGTGATTCTGAGACCTTGCCAGCGTTCGCCTTTCTGAAGAAGGGGCTGTCTCCCACGAAGAGAAGTCAGCTTCCCAGGGAGGAGGAGATTGTGCTGATCAATGCCTCCGATTCTGAGACCTCCTGCCTTCTGTCACCACCTGCCCCAGACACACTGGAAACTGCCGCCGCCCAAACAAAGCCAGCAGGGCTGCTGAGAAGCGGGGGTGAAGAGGAACCCCTTCCCCTGGCCGAGAGGCTGAAGTGTAAGTTTCTGACTCCCAGGCAGCTGTACCCCGGAGACTCCACTTCCTCATTTACCAGCATCTTGGATCGCCAAGGTAGTGAAGGAGCGCCCCGCGACTGGAAGACGCAGCCCTTCCCCAAACTCCCCACTGCTGCTCTCCCTGACACCTCAGAGGGGACCGCTCCCGGTGACAGTCCATGCCACCAATTTCCCTGCCCTGGCCAAGGCAACAGCCTGACTATCACAAGAACACATGCTGAAGACCCCCTGCCTCAGAAGAGAGCCAAGCACAGTCAGAAGGCCCGGGGAAGAGGCTGGCTGGGGTGCCGGCAGCGGCAGGGCCCGGTGAGCCAGAAGGAGAGCACCCTGGGGCCACCAGAGGGAAAGAAGAAGGCAGGGCCCGTGAGCCGGCGGCCGGAGGAGAGCCTGAAGCAGCTTGCTGCCGTCTTGGATCCAGGTCGTCTGTCCCTGTTCCCGCCCCCACCCGCAGAGCTCTGTGCCTTCTGGGCCACCCACTGACGGCCCTTCTCCCATCTGTTCAGTGCTCCTACAGATGGAAGGTGGGGGCCAGCTCCTGGGGGCCCTGCAGTCCATGGAGTGCCGCTGCGTGATCGAGGCACAGGCTGTGCCTCGCAGCCTCACTTGGAGGCGGGCCGCGGGGCTGTCTGAGGTAGGGCTTCTTGGCATCCTCTCTCCTCCCCTGAGAGTGCGGGCACAGGATAACCCAAGGCGGGTTGGACAGGGCACAGGAGGATACGGCAAGGGATGGTGCAGGTGGCAGCACATGGCTCAGGACTTGCCACCACCGGACTGCTGACTGGGCAGTCTGCCCCCTGCATGGCAGTGTTAGTAGTGTCCGTGGTCTCTGCTCACTAGACGCCAGTAGCACTGCTACCCCACCCCCCCAGGGACAATCAGAAATATGACCAGCTGGTTGGTCAGCACAGCATAACGATTGCCCTCTGAGCTGGAAGGGATGGAGAGTCCTCAGCCCCTAAGAGAAGTCTTGACCTCCCTTAGCGAGCGTCACAGACCCTAGGCCTTCCCATTGGGAGGAAGCTTGGAAGGAAATTCCCTGATGTCACTCTCCTTCCTGGGTCCTTGCTCGCCACACCCACCTGGGAGCCTGCATAGGGAAGGACTTAGGGTGCCCTCCCCCAGGTCAGTGCCTCAGGGGACAGGAAGGTGGAGAGTGGGCCTGTGGCCCCAGGGAAGAGTGTCTGCACCTAAAACTTCAAAAGCCAAGGTGATGTTCATCAAGTTGCTTCTGACTCCTGGGGCCCTACAAGGCAGGACAGAACTGCCCTGGGGGTGGGGTGGGGGGTTTCCCAGACTAGCGCTTTAGGGAGCAGAAAGCCTCCTCCTCCCAAGGAACAGTGGGGGTTTCCAACTGCTGACTTGGGGTGGCAGCCCAGCCCCTAACTCACTCTGCCCCTGGGGCTCCTTGCCCATCTACACAGAGCTCCGGTTTTTCTAGCTGGGCTCTGGGGTGGGGCAGGCCTGTGCTTCAAGCCCAGTTGATCGCTCTGGTGGCAAGTCAGTTTTCCCTGGCCTGGCCCCCCACTGCCTCCTTGGTGAGTGTATCCAGCAGGGACTCATGAGACAGCCGGGCACTGAGCACGGAGGAGCACTTGGAGGGCTTTCTCCCCACCTGCACTGCCCCCCCAAACCTGAAGACTTGTTTCCCTCACTTTGGGACTTAGATTTCCTGCCTTTCTCACACCCTGTGTAAGTAGAGGGTACCCACAAACCTTTATTTTCACAGCCACACCCCTAGTGCCCAGGGCTCAGCAAGTAGGGGCCCCAGGTCAGAGAAGCCAAGCTAGAGCCAGAGTCGGGATCAGGATCGCTGCTCCCTAACTGCTTCTCTCCTGTATCCAGCCTCTGCTTCCAGGGACCGTCAGACGACCTACAGAAAGTGCCCGCTACCCCATCGTGCCCCACTGGTGTACAGTGGGTGATGCCCTGTCCACTGATGAAAGTGATCCTTTGTCACGAAAGGCCACTCATAGGCTCTGCCTTCAAAGCCAGGGTCACTTATTTGTACCAAATCCTGCAACAGTTGCTTCTTACACCGTTTCCAATTCAAAATGCCCAAACTGGCATAACTTCTCTGTACTGGCCGATGCGCTTTCCTTCCTTCCTCCCTTCCTTCCTTCCTCACTGCTTCTAGCTGGGGTTCTTCAGGGCTCAGCACTTGAGGGCGGGGTGGAGTAGGACCAAGGGTGGTCCTTGCCAAGGTGACTTCAGTCTAGAAGGAAAAGAGAACGGGTGACGATCACGTTGATGGAGCTGTTCCTTCAGCCAGAAGTCTGGTCACACTTGCTGGTTATGGCCACCTGCTGACTAGCCTCTGCCGTCCTGGTCTTCGGCAGGATGGCAAAGAGGAATGGGCGGAGGAGCCCACGGTCCTGGTGCTGCTCCTGGCCGAGATGGTTGCATCCCTGATCAACAACGGGAAGCAGGTATGAAGGCCCAGGGGTGGGGAGGGGCTCAGTCTGGAACCCGGGGCTGATGCCTCCCAGGAAACAGGCGCTAAGACAATGCCTGTCCCTCTCAGGGAAGCCTGGGAGGCACCGACAGAGGGACAGAAACCCTTCAGAGCGTTATAACGGACATCACCAGACGGACAGTGGGGAAGGCGCTGTCTCTGGTGATCATGGACCAGGAGAACTCCTTCAGGTGCAGGTTTACCCTGGAGGTGATTGGGTCACGGGCGCCTCCTCCCTAGGGTAGCCTCGCTCAGAGGCTCTGGCCCAGTCTCCTCACCCCTCTTTTCCATGCGGGAAGCATGGGGCTGGCTACTCTTGGGCTCTGATCTCCTTCCCTGCTGCAGTGCTCCGAATCCTCCCAGGAGAGGGAAGCAGAGCCGAAGGAGCCGAGACCAGGCCAAACCAAAACAGCAGAGAGGAGCAGAGGCCAGCCCAGGGCCCAGGCCCCCGGTGACCCGGGTCGACTTGGAAGAGGTAAGAACTCCCTGTTGCTCAAGTCCAGCTGGGCACCCACTGGTCATCTGACCCGACATACTGCTGGAGAATGAAATGCCCATTAAACACACTGTCTGCCCTGGCAGTGAGTAGGAAAGAGGCTCACTAGGGGCCCCAGTGTGGCCTTAGTCCTCAGCAGGAGAGCTTGAAAGAGCTCCCTGCCCTTCGCTCCCTCCCTGCTCTGGGCCTCTAGGCGCTGGTGGAGCTGCAGCTGCACACGGAAGCCCAGGTGCGGGTCCTGCAGAGCTGGGGCGCTCTGGCCGACTTTGCGTGCGCGTTCACGAAGGCTGTGGCGGAGGCGCCCTTCAAGTGAGTGCAGGTGTAAGTCCAGCCTCTGGTGGGGCTGGGCCTTGCTCTACAGGTTGGTTCTTGAAGGACTTGAAGCCAACCTTGTGCTGGGGCTTCTTGGGAGGGGCCCTTACGGCCAAGCCATAAGCATTGAAGTGGTCCATTAGCTGTAAGTTTACCTTCTGAAGGTCGGTACTGAGTTATTTAGCCATGCTATCAGAACACATTAGAGATCTGATCACAATGTAAAAAGTCCTAGCAAAACAAATAGAGCTTGCTTAGCTCGAAGAATGTTCATAATCGAAAATAAGGATAATCCAGTGTGGGCCCCTGGCTGAGGGATTGAGGCCTGATGAGTTCAACTTGTCTAAGCTTCTAGCAAGTTCTCGTGGGAGCCAGAATTGCGTCTGGTACCAATCCCTCTATGCAAATGGGAGGGACTGTGGGCTTACTGGTACCTGCTTCCCTAAGGAAACTCCCCAGATGTGTTTTTTAAGGGGACTGGCAACTAGCACTGTTTGGGGAAAAACAGGGCTCAGATCATCAAAAGCAAAACCAGGCTGGACATGACATTGTCCTTCCTGGTCGAAGGCATGCAGGTGAGTGACCCCTAGCTACCCAGCTGTGTGCTGTGTGCAGGAAGCTCCGAGATCAGACGGGCTTCTCCTTCTGCCTGGAGAGTGACTGGGCTGGAGGAGTCAAAGTGGACAGCTCTGGCAGGGGCCTTGCCCAGGTCTGGAGGCGGCAGATCCAGCAGTTGAACCGAGTCAGCCTGGAAATGGCCAGCGCCATTGTGAATGCCTTCCCCTCCCCCCGGCTCCTGGCTCAGGTATGCTGCTTTAGGGGCCCCATTTTCATGGACAGCATGGCAGGCCCCAGAATGCCTGCTGAGATCAGGGCTTAGTGCTGGTCAGAGGGAGGGCAGCTGCCTGCTCAGGATGAGGCATGGCTTGGGGTAGTGGCACTAAGCTTACTGTTTTCAGGCTTACCGACGTTGTCTCTCGGAGCAAGAACGCCAGAATTTGCTTGCAGACATACAGGTTCGACGTGGGGTGGGTGTGACGTCCACCTCTCGTCGTGTGGGACCTGAGCTGTCCAGGCGCATCTATCTCCAAATGACAAGTCTGCAGCCAAGTCTCTCCCTAGACAGTGCAGACTGACAACCCTCAACACAAGGGCCCAAAGCTGGAACGTTGTTCTCCCCATCCACCAGTACAGATTGGAAGCACCACCTGGGGCCCCTGTTCTCCATCCTAAAGAGGTCCCTCCTGAGTCTGTCGGCTCAGGTGCAACGGGCAACTTCACTCACCTGTCAGTGTCTGTCTCCGGCAGAGATGAGCCACCCCTACCATGTCCCAGCCAGCCTCACAGCACAGAGCAACACACACAGACCACCCAGACGTGTATTTTATTGTAGAAATCCCAAAGAAGTTCGGCATCCAATCTAGATGTAGTGAACTGGTGCCTGTGGGTTGGCTTGCCTGCGCCGGGTGGCCCTCAGCCCTCCACTCACCCATCTTGCTGCCACCAGTCAGGGAGCAGGAGGAGCGCCATGCTGACTTCTATGACTGTAACCAGGGGGCGTGTGGCTTCAATAAAGCATATGTACCAGTGGCTCTTCAGCCTGAAGGAAGACTAAAGGAAGTGTCCTGATTTTCGTCAGGTGTGACCTACACAGCAGAGCAGCCCTTAGGGGAGAAAAGAACACCAGTTCTAGTGTTGGGGCTGCTGAAGCTATGAAGCTGGACTCGGATCTGGGACAGGGTCTTGCTTTCTCTGGGACTTGCACTGGCTGAGCACCAGGGCGGTTGTTTCCCATCCCTTCCACCAGCTGTTGTGGAAAGATAAAAAAAGATGAGGCGATGGAAGTCCGAGAGCAAGAAAGCATTTCCTCAGGCTGCCGTCCAGGGGCCGGTCTCTGGCCCAATGTTGCAGTCATGTCCCTTTGAGCCTGTAGAGAGTGCAGGCTGCCTGAAGTTTTCATCACACCAACCACTGGCAGAGATGTCCAACCATGGGGCTTTGCGAGGGGCCCCTCCTTGCTCACTGGCAGTCGGGGGGTTAATGCTCTCAGCTGAGGGCAGGGGATGGGTGGAGAAGACCCCACTCCATAGGAGCGGCCCAGGGCCTGGAGGTCACACTGCTAGGGGGAGCTTACTGTAAAAAGTTGGTGGGAAAATGAAGTCTCTTCAGATTCCATCTTACCAGGAACTTTTTGAAGCCCCTCCTTCATGCTTGTGAGTCGTGGATCTGCGTCACGAGAGCCTCTAGACATTAGCTGAGGGTTTTTCTCAGAACATTAAAAAAAGTAAAAGGAGATGGCAAGACAGATTGGTGCGAGTGACCAGTCAGTCCGGCCTCTGATTAGCTGAGACTGGGCCAGTCCGAGTCCCTGCCAGTGAGGGCCACGTGGTCCTCACACTGCAAGCCCCTTTCACAGCCTGGGATTTGGTGAGGTCACCAGATGTCTAAGGAATGTCAGGCCCTGGAGAAATTAGATACACACCTCCCCGGATTCAGGTCGGATTTGCTGAGCGTGGCATCCCCCCACCCCTAACACGCTACCACCTGACCTGCCCAGGCTACATGGGGTGGGCTGAAAGGTGTGCGACATACAAAAGTGAAAATGTAGTGCCAGCTGACCACTGGGTAGAAGCCACCTTGCCTTGTCTCAGCTTGTATCATAATAGAAAAGGCCAGGTTCCTCCTCTCCCGCACCCCCGCACATCCATTAGTCATGCAGGCCCCCACCCCCACCCTCAGTTTCCTTATTCCAACAGGGTCCCCTGACTGTGGAACAAGTCCTACAAAGAGGAGACTTCCAGTACCAGGCGGCAGCCCCGTGGTGATGGCAGGGTGGTCTGACGCTACAGAGGTGGTGGCCCGCAGAACCCAATTCCAGGGACGTGAGCTCCACGGCGGGCGGCAGGGGTGTGCGGAGGGCAGCTCACTGCTGGGACTCGGTCTGGAGGACCCACTGGAGGATCTCGTGGCTGCGCAGCCCCCGGAGCGCGTTGTCATAGATGGCGTTCACGCGGGTGCACAGGGGCTGCCGCTGCAGCTCAGTGACTCGACAGGCCACCAGCCCACCGGCCACACACAACAGCAGCAGCAACAGCAGCAGCTTCAGCACTGCCCAGGAGCGAGTGTGTTTCCGGGGCGGCGGCTTGCGGGGGCGGGAGCCGGACTTGGACTCTGGAGGGACGGCAGCAGCAGCACAGAAAGGCCGTGAGTCGGGGGGAGACCCACGTTCCACCCACCTGCACTAGCTAGCCACCCTCTCCCCTAACAAAACGCCCGGGCCCTGAACAAGCCTCTCAGACCTTTGGAAATATCATCACTCAGAGGTTGAAGCACGCCTTCTCCCCTGGGGAGGAGGATGTGTGTGTGTGCCCTGGCTGGTCTCAGGATGCCCATCCAGACCCACGTGGCTGCTGACTTGGAGGCATGGGTTTGAGACTTAATTTTCCAAATTCTCTGTAATGAATGTAAATGACCATGGTCTGTCGGTGTCCACGGAGAGCTCCCGAGTGCTTGCGTCCCCTTCTGTAAAATGGCTGAGTGTTTGCCTGGACAATCACCCCCCACACACCCCCACCCTGGTGGCTTGCACCCAACACACTTCCCACCTCGCCTTTGAGGGGCTGCCGCTGAGGACTTGATTGCTTTGGGGGAGAGGGGATTTCTGATCTGCCATTAACCCATAGATATAGAAGACTGATGATACATTTTAAACGGGGAGGGGGGTGGTTTGTAAAAGTTAACATGCTTGACTGCCCACAAAACCAAGAGCTGCATGGTCCTTGTCACCTACGATGTCCTCAGGTAAGCCTCACGGGGACATCCCTGTCCACAGGAAGGAAATAGCAGGTGGAGGGCAAGGTGAGCAGGGTCAGGCCCAGCTCGCTGTGGGGAGCTCCTGCCTCTGGCTCTCTGCAGACCCAGAGGGCTTCCTGCAGACTGACTTAAATCCAACGACATGACTAAAATGTTTTTTTCCATGAGTCTCCCGTAAAGGCAGCCAGTGACCCCTCTGGTGTGCAAACAAAGATCATTCCAGCTCAGGAGACACACACCCCTGCCCCCCACCCCCGCAGGCAGTGCGGCCACACTGAGGCGGTTCTAGACTCCAGGGGTGGCGTCGGGTGTACAGGTGAGGTGGCAGCTGCACTCTGCCTCTGGCATCAGAACCTGAACCCTGGTAGCAGCGGACACCCTGCTGAGTCCCACGCACACCCGGGTGTGGCTCTGGGAGGACAGACCAGCCAGCTACTTGTTTCGGGGAACACCTGGCTCGGGTGACCAAACTCTCAGGCCCGTCTCCCTGGCCAGCCCCTGCTTCCCACACCCGTCAAAGGCCTGCAGCTCACTGCTGCCCTGGGCTCCAGCTGGGACCTGGGACCAGACTTACTCTGATTGTTCTCCTTCTTGGGTTTCTTCTCCTGCTCCTTCTTGGAGGCCTTGAGGGCGTCATACTCCTTCCTCCGCCGCTCCTTCTCCTCGGCCTTCTCCCGCTTCCGCAGCTCCCGCTCCTGCGCCTCCTTCGCACGCTGCTTCGCCTCCCGCTTCTTCTCCGCCTCTGCACGCAGCACACCAGAACCACCACTGGAGCCTTCTCCACCCCCCACCCCCCCGGGGCTGCAGGCCACCCAAGTATGACACAGAAAGAGGGTGTCCTTTGCCCTCCAGGAAGCACCCCAGCCCACGCCCCCCTGTTGTGAGGCCACACAGAGCTGCCCCATCGGGCTTCCAAGGCTGCCATCCTAAAGCGGCAGGCGGCCCCCCATCTTCCCAGAGCAGGGCTGCTTGGAAGCAGTGTGCTGTAACCACTTTCCAGGAACGGCCCCTGCCCCGGGACGCAGCCGGCTCTCTCCAAGCTTGCTGACTGGATGCTGACAGACTCCAGGGGTCTACAGTGAGTATGTGTGTCTCAGCTGGGGGCTGGGTCTGCTGCTCCCCGGAACTAGAGCCTAACCAGAAGGCCCAACAGTCTTCAGAACTCGGTATGACCGGAAGAAGGGATGGTGGTTACGTCTACCTCCCTTCCTCCCCACACTTCAGAAAGGGACGTGGCCTGTGGAGGGAGGGCCGGTAAGGAGCTGTGCTCTCTGGGCCCAGCAGAGAGAAGCCAGCTTTTGCTGGAGAAGGGAGACCAAGCTTGTCAGTTTGTTCTGCATTTCAGTCCCGACTCCTGCAGCACCTCAGCTTTACTGAACCACTCGATTGTGCTTACGTGCCCCACCCAGCCCATGCACAGCTCTCCACGGACAGGATTTCCAAGTTAGCCATTTGAAAGTTGGACACTCAAACTAGTCAATGTCCTCTGAGGGCTGGAAGGTCCTGAGCCGGGAGCTGGCGGGACAGCAGCACCAGCAGTACTAGAGCTTTCCAAGGCTGCTCTGGCACAAACAAGCTCCTTGTACCAGGTGGGCGCTGGGAATGCCAAGGACACACGACAGGTGACCACGGGTACTGGAGGCACCACAGCAGCTGGGGTCAGCAACGTGGCATCTTTGCTACAGCAGCCACAAGTGCACAGGATGTCCACAGCTCAGGCGTCCTGACCCCAGGGACTGTCCAGGGAGGGGCTAGGCTGGTCAAGGGGCACCTACCACATGCCAGGCATTGCTCTAGGTGTCTGAGGGCGAGCAGAGAGAGGTAAGCAGCTACCAAGTCCCTGCCTTTGTGGGGAGACCGACTAACAGATGATGGTAGTGAATGTCCCAGAGGAAGGATAAGTGGACGGGACCGAGGGGCAGCTCGGTCACTCGACTTTGGCTCACCTAGTAACCTAGGGCTAACCTAAGGTAACGTTTGAGGAGAGATGGGGGAGGTCATAAAGAGCCAGGCTCTGCTGGCTTACGTGTTGGGCTGCAAACAACAGGAAGGTCAGCAGGTCAACACCCACCACAGGAGCGGTTCCACTCTGCCCTATAGGGTTGCTATGAGTTGACAATGACTCAATGGGAGTTGGGGACACACATACAAAGATTTTAGGAGGAAAGAAAGCTTGGAAGCAAAGGCCCTAAAGCAAGAATGTACTTTGAGAGTCTAAGGAGTGACAGAGCCTCTGGTTGAAGGGAGCAGTATGCTCTCCCCGTCATGGAGTAAGACCAGAGGAGCAGGCAGGCTCGGTTCAGTGGGGCCTGGTCTGCCAACAATACCAAGTGTCACTTTGACCCCAAGTTCAATTAGTGTTGTAAGCAAACGGCGGCAGCGCTCAGGGATGGGTGGAGAGGGCAAGTCCGGAGACACCAGCTGAGCACGGAGCAAGGCCTGGTTACAGTGACCACACTGACAGGAGACGGGATAGAGTACCTGATCCCAGGCTTCATCACCAGTATGGGCTGTGATGTCCTGTTGGATGGGACACTGGGCTTAATTAGGGGTCTGTTCTGGCCATATTAAATGCAGGCACTGAGAAGCTCTGGGGAGCCCTGGCGGCCCACTCCAATAAGATCACAGCCTCAGAAACCCTGTGGGCCGTTCGCCTGCCCTCAAAGGGTCAAAATCCACCCACGGCAGTGGGCCCGGCTGGCTTTGTGAACTTCCCTGGCAGTGAGACACAGCAGCTGCTCGGGCAAGGGCAGGGATGCAGGCGGCAAGCCCTGGCAGGAGGGCCGTCTCCCAGCTGCTGAAGTACCGGCCTGCTAAGGGGAGGTCTGTCGGGGTGTGAAGACCAGCGCTAGCCACCTACCTCGTTCCACTTCCAGTCGCCGCTGCTTCTCGCGCTCCTGGTCAGCCTGCATAGCCTTCATGTGCTGCAGCACCTGCGAGGAGGGGGCGTGTTGGCAGTTCCCGACTTACAGCTACTGTCTCAGGGGCTGCCATGAGGATGGGGAGGTCAGCGTGTTACCCGCAGCGGTGTCACCGATGAGAAGCGGCGCGTGCGTGCACGCACACATACACACACCACTGGCTGGTTGTAAATGTGACTTTGGGCTTCCTGTAACTGAGTGGGGGGGTCTGGGCCCCAAGAGCAGTCTGGAACCCATGGAGCTAACCCCCTGTCTGTGCCTGAGTTGCTGGGCCAACCTTGCTGGAGAGTCCCAGAGCCCAGTTCACAACGCTGTCGGGAAAGGCTGGGCCAACACTGCCAGCTGGCAGCGCTCAGCTCCCGGGACAGGTAGAGGCATGTCCTCAGAGGGGCTTTTTAGACATACCCCACCACCCCCACTTCGCTTCCCTGTCCCAAGCATGAGGAGTCCTACTGGCATAGTGGGTTACATACTGAGCTGCTAGCCTCAAGGTCAGCA